TAATTTGAATTTACTCTTAGCCATCACCTGCTCTGACAATTTTGGGTTGAGAAGGTTTCATGCAAGATAGATATTTCCATGGAAAATCTCATAAATTTCTAAACCCATCTAAGGTCTAGATAACTTGTCTTTTTTCCAGTAATTAAAGCCTTCTTTTAATACAGCAAGAAAAAAAATCTATGCAAATCCATCACCAAAGCTATTTACTGTAAGTAATACTAAATATCTTCTGAAGGACAATGCTTATTAATATTGTATAGGATGTGAAAAAAACATATTTTTGCCCTTTTCAATTGTCTTATATGATTTCAAATTCAATTTGTGTATTTTTTATATCACATCTTATGTTCCTATTTAATGCAAAAGAAATTTTGTCTGTATACTTGGGAACCACCTTTAAACAGTTCTTAGATAAATAGATAAAGTGTAAGTCACTGTGTTTGAGGATTATTCCATATTGCTTTAAAAATAAATTAGAAACACTGATCGTAAGCACCAACCACCGGGGTTGAACCCTTCAATATCTACTCCTCTAACCCCCCACAAAAAATTCTCGGAAGTACAAAATTAACCTTAAATCCTAACCTACTATAAAAAGCCTAAGTAACTTAAACTCCTAAATGTACTTCCACTCATTATTTAGAGTGTTTTGAATGAACCTCTAATATGTCTTCTTGTCTTTTTTCAAGTTATAGTGGTACTGTTTGCAGCTCTGAAAAGACAGCGAAAAAAAGAGCCTCTGATCTTGTCTAAAGAAGACATCAGAGACAACATTGTGAGCTACAACGACGAAGGTGGTGGCGAGGAGGACACACAGGCCTTTGATATCGGCACCCTGAGGAATCCTGCCGCTATTGAGGAAAAAAAGCTCCGGCGAGATATTATTCCGGAAACGTTATTTATCCCACGAAGGACTCCCACAGCTCCGGACAACACGGACGTCCGGGATTTCATTAACGAGAGGCTTAAAGAGCACGACCTCGACCCCACCGCGCCGCCGTACGACTCCCTCGCAACCTACGCCTATGAGGGAAATGATTCCATTGCGGAATCTCTGAGTTCCTTAGAATCAGGTACTACTGAAGGAGACCAAAACTATGATTACCTCCGAGAATGGGGCCCTCGGTTTAATAAGCTAGCGGAAATGTATGGTGGCGGGGAAAGTGACAAAGACTCTTAACCTAGGATGTATGTTCTGTTCAAACAAGAGGAAGTACCTTTATCGACGCTGTCTCCACTTCACAATATTTGACATTCAGGAGAATTTTCCTGCCACTCAGCACAATTTTTTCCCATTTACTGCTTAATTTGTTCATTAATTACATTAATTCTTTCCTGTAGGATATCTCATGGAATATATATGACATTTTATTTAATCACTTCCAAGAGCCAAAGCTATGGAAATTCAGTGTTGTCCATCTTAGTAAATAAAAGATAATTTCAGAAACATGAACAGGATAGTTCTCCCTTAAGCAACCTCACCAACAAACCGCTTCTCTTAGGTACACGTCCTGCCCTTGCAAATGAAGCTTTTAAAAAGGTGAAGAAAATTTTAAAATATATCCTGTTCTGTACATTAAATTTAAAAAAAAAATGTACATGTGGTGTTAGTAGGTGTGATATGCAACCTGGTATACAAACGTTTGTGCAATTTCATTTCATCAAATTCTATCTGCTAATGTTTTATATTTATATTT